CACACACAAGCGTACCGCGCCAAAGCCCAAGTGAACCATGCCTGGACTGCAGTTATTGCGCAATTATTCATTTCTGCAAATGTCGCAGGTGCTTTATTTTAACACGAGAGTGCAGTCATGTACATTAATCGCCAAAGCTGGATATCCGAGCTCTTGAATAGGCTTTTTCAAATGAACTGCAAGTCCTCTCATGATCTCATCATCAAATACAATTGTGATCTCTTAGAAGTAAAAATTATTCATCTTTGCTCCTCGACTAAACTTAGTCAAAAACTATTAAGTATTTAGAATTAGATTGATGCATGACCGGTGACAATGCTAACGGACTTACTTGGCTGTATTGTGATGTGAAACTTAGCCTACCATAACTTTTAGCAAAGGTGGAACTTTGTATTTCTTTATGGCAAAAGAATTATGCTAGAAATGTTTCTGGATGAGGTATTTATGTGATTTATACATAATAGGGGTATTCTGATCTGTCTTAAAGCATCACAAAATTGTACAGACATTACAGGTCAAAGCAATCTGTTACATTTACCAAAATAAACAATATTAAAGCACTGCCTTGAGAAATGTAGTGTTGTCAGAAACCAAGTAATTATTTTTATTTTATTTTATTACTGACAGTGTTCTTGTCTTTTTTGTAAAATTATTTCAGTTTAGGATCAAGCGTAAAATAAAATATTGAATAGACAACAAGCAAATAAGAAAAACAGTGTAAAATATGTAAATAAAACCCCAAGTTTAAATATTTTCATCATATATTTTAAACATTTAAAAGCTTGAAAGTATTGTTTAAAAATGGACAAAAAGTGTCTCTATGGCCTTAAAAGTATGTGGTAGTTTTGCCAGTGCCATTAAAAATGATTCATTGTCATGTACAGAAAAAATAGACCATACTTTGTTAATGCAAATACCTATATGTAGCCTTGTGATTTAAACAATTAAACAATTTAAATAATTGTATAATTAAAAAAGGACCATAATGAAAAACTTATTTAAATATATTTTTTTTCAAAAGTAATTAACTAGTACTCAAAGTAGTTTTTTAAAGAGTAATTTGTAAAATATTAGTATAATTTACTAAAACTTGTATTATTTTAGCAGTGTATTATAACTTGAGTACAAATATTCTGTTCTCTTTTCATCTGAGATAACATCAACAAATAAACAAAAAAATGCACAAGCACATTTAGTAAAGGTGTATTATATTATAAATAAATGATTAATTGTTATATTATTATTAATAAATGGTTTTTATTTGTATAAATCAATAGACAGTTCATATGCAGTATTTTTATGAATTGCTGAAAAAACATTGCAGGTGTTCAACACATTGCATGTCAGTCTTGGCTTATTATATTAACGCTGTTTTTAGGATCTAAAAATGTATTCTTTAAAAAGCAAAAAGATTCCAATGGCGACACCTGCTGGTACGTGAAGAATATGATCAATACTGATGAACTTCACACTCAAATGTTTGCACATCATCAGCATGTTATAATCCATTTCCTAAGCAGCAAAAGTCTTTTTTAGACTAGTTTGTTGGCCAGTTGTAGTCAGTGCAATGCTAAACGTTATTGTTTCACTTTAATTTGTTTTGTCTCACATCGTCCCACAACAACATCATATAGTTTAGAAAACTGTACAATGTTTTATAACAATTATTTTTGTGTCTATTTCATTCAGCATATTTAAAATTAAGGGGATCCACGTTTTTTTGACATACTTTAAATCAGGGTTTCTACAGGTTTCACCAAGTTAAATGTAAGACTTTTTAAGACCATTATGAATGAAATTTTAGACTAAGGAATTTTTCAATTGCCGCAGATGAAAAAGATTTTTATATGTCCAAACAAAAATATTTTAATGTAAAATATTTAATAATACAATAATAAATAAATAATAATAATAATAATAACATTAAAATATTTTTTTTATATTTCTTAGCAAAAGATCATAAATATTGTGTAAAAACAAGAGAGCTCTACTTGGATCCACACACTTTTTTCCCCAAAATAAACTTTCTTTAAAATAAAAAAACAAATTAACAAATGTTTTAAAAGTTTTAAAAACTATATTAAACTAAATCTGTGCACAACAATCTGTCCAGGTCGATATCCTCACCATTATGATAAACAGAGTTAAAATGTCTTGTTGGTCATTGTATGGGTTTTGGCCAGATTGGGTAACAAAACATGAACAAAGGAAAATGAAGACTTGTTTAAAAAGATTTAAGACATACAGCACAATATTTCAGTAAATTTAAGTTTTTGTAAGGCCTAAATTTTTGATTTTGGAATTTAAGACATTTTAATACCCAGCGGAAACCCTGTTTAAACACAATAGCCCTGGTAATTAGTTATTATAATAATGTAGGTCAAACTAAGATCATATCTGTGAGAACTAGTAACAACTACAAAAACAAGTTTAAACCCATAAAGAAGTTGATAAAAAAGGGAATTGTGATCAACGTGACACATGCAAATGGAAAATACTAAGCCAACACTACCACTGTAATAGCAGATATCTTCTATGAGAATACTGTAGGTCAAATATTGTCAGCTCAGTTAAACCTTTTTAATTTTTTGTTTTTATTTATTTTATATAGCGCCAGTGCTCAAGGACACTTTACAAACAAAGAGAACAAGAAAAGCAATAGGAGACGAATAATACATAACATATGTATGACATAAATAAGAACAAGTGATGAAACTCATTCTGTCATTCAATGAGTGCTTATGTGCATTTAGGAGAACTAGGCAGTACACTCAGGGCTACAAGATGGATTTAATTTAGTATTCTTATTATTAAAATATATCTGAATGAGGATCAAATGACTGAGTTGGTCTTTAAAAATGTAAACCAACCTGTTTGTTCCTGCAGATCTTCCTGTTTGACTGTGAATGTTTCTTCAATCTTCACATCTTCACTCTCCTCTTTAATAAACGCCATCTTTATAACAGTGTGGAGATCAGTCGCTTCAGCAGGAGTTTTTCTCTGCGTTTGGACACTTTATCCTGTTTAAAAAAAAAAAAAAAACATTAAAAACGTCCTGATTAAAATAAATAAAACAATGAACAGAATCAAAATAACTTCTCTTCAATACTTGCTTAAACAGTTTCATATGAGAGTCATTAACAAAAATAAATTAAGTAAGTCTGAGCAAGACACAATGAGCTGATTAAAACTAGTACTCCACTTCTTATATATAGTGATTTATCCTTAGAATGGAATGACATTATGCTTTTTAATAAATTAAACCTTCATTAAAACACTTATTACTCACATTTCTGTTGCTTTATTCAAACAATAGCCCAAATTACTGTGAGTAAATTGTACTTCGTTGTAAAAAGGGTCAAAATAATGTCAACAGCAGGTTCCTAATTTAGCATCGGATGAAAACCCTGAAACTTTATTCAATCGCTTTATATTTATGTAAAGGTTTTAAAAACAAACCTTTCTCCAGCTGAATCAAGCGCAAGAGCGGCGCAGCCTAATGACGTCACACGCCACGCCAAAATAAAAGTCTTTTGTTTTTAGTTTGCAGTCATGACTTGTTCAAACATTTCTCTTTCTCTCTCTCTCTCTCTCTCTCTCTCTCACACACACACAATCACACAGATGTTCAGTATTTGAAGTTGATCAAAACCTTTAATCTAAACATTTTAAAACAACTTAAAAAAAAGTGCCTTTGAGACATCAAAATGAAAAAAAAAAAGTTTAAGATTTTTTAATTTAACCACATAGTTGTTGTATTATTTAGACATTAGACTGTAAGAAATGAATGTTGGTCAAGCTCCTGCACTTTTTACAATTAATCTACTAACAAAAACAGCAAACAAACCTCAAATTGTGTCAACACTGTCAAGGACAAATTCAAAGTATATCTTCATTTCAGTGTGATTAATAAATGTGTATTGTGTCCCTTTACAAACCCAACTTTATAGATTATTAAAAAAAATATTCGTAATAATGAAATATTGGACAAAACATTAATTTCCAGATAAAATATGCAATCGTTGCACATTATTTTTTAAATAAAAATCCAAGATTTAAAATATTTAGTCAAACTTTCAAACATTATTAACTGGCCCCCCTGCTGAAAAAAACAGCAAAGACCAGCATGATTTTCATGCTGGTCTATGCTGGTCAATGCTGGTTTAGCTGGTTTACCAGCTTGGTCTTGCTGGTGATGCTGGTAGACCAGCTTGGTTTTGCTGGTTGACCAGCTTGGTCTTGCTGGTAGACCAGCTTGGTCTTGCTGGTGATGCTGGTGGACCAGATTGGTCTTGCTGGTGATGCTGGTAGACCAGCTTGGTCTTGCTGGTGATGCTGGTAGACCAGCTTGGTCTTGCTGGTGAAGCTGGTAGATAAGCTTGGTCTTGCTGGTAGACCAGCTTCGGCTTGCTGGTCAGGCTAGTCTACCAGCTTGGTCTTGCTGGTTATGCTGGTAGACCAGCTTCGGCTTGCTGGTCATGCTTGTCTACCAGCTTAGTATTGCTGGTGATGCTGGTCTATGTTTGGTGGACAAGCAAGACAAAACCCAGATAGCAAATTACATCTGGCCCAGATATGGCCCACATCCCCCATTTTCTTCTGGCCCACATACCGCGCGGAATGACGGCGATGACTCAACCTGATTGTGGCTGACATAAGGATCCAAAAGTCAGCCACAACTGAACCAGATCTGGGCCATATCTCAGAAAAAGCATGGTCCATATCTGGGCCAGATGTGGCCCATACATTTTCTTAGATCTGGCCCAGCTACGGCCCATGCACATTCTCAAATCTGGCCCAGCTGCGGCCCATGCAGTTTCTCAGATCTGGCCCACATACAGCCCATGCAGTTTCTCAGATCTGGCCCAGATGCGGCCCATGCAATTTCACAGATCTGGCCCAGATCTGGTTCAGTTGCGGCTGACTTTTGGGTTAGATGTGGCTCACATCTACATTTGGTAGCTATATAAATCACATTAAAAGGAATGCTTTGTTTAAATTGCTTTATTTTAAAAAATTGCTTTAAAGGAAGCATATAAATTGATAAATACAAATATATAATTTATATAAATTATATAAATAGATGCATACAAAAAACAACAACAGATTAATCAATGCAATACAAAGAAATATATGAATTAGATAAATAAATGCATACAGAATTATCACAAATTAAATGCAAATAAATATATATAAAAGTTAAAATTAGGTAAGTGGATATACAGAATAAGAAGAACATTCAAACACAAATGTATATACAAATTAGATAGATACAGAATTAACACAGAAAATATATATATATATTATTTTATAAAATGCATATTAATTAAATTAACAAATATTTTATAACCATATAACCAGAACCAATAATTAAAAAGACATATAAAGGGCAATTCAAAAACAAGATCAGAGGCGAGGCAGGGGTCAAATAAACAAATGATAATTACAGAAACAAGATAAACAAGTACGAGTAGACAGAACAAACACAGAAATCACATATTTAACAAAAAAACATTATTTAAATAATTACAACTAAATATTTATTAGCATCTACCCAGAACCAAAAAAAAAAATAAATAAATAAAAAAAAAATAAATAAACTGAAAATCCAACAGGGCAGTTAAAGAGTGAGGTCAGGGGCGAGCAAGGGTCAAAGCCAAAAAAAACAGTCCAATGCAAAACATCCTGAAAATAGGAGAAGACAACAATTAAAAGGTGCTGTTTGCAGAGTACATGCAGGCACAACTTGATTAAAATTAAGGACTTTTAAGCACTTAAAAACACCTATTTTTATTTTTAAGACTGACAAGCAACGTATTGAACACCTGAAATGTATTCTCAGCAATACATAAAAACATCCCATAGGAACTACCTATCGATTTATAAAAAATAAAAAATAATATTAATATAATATTTCATAGTATTAAACCTATTTTAAATGTGCTAGTGAAATTATTTTTTTTTTATGTATTCGTAGATGGAAAGAGAACTGAAAATTAAATTACGTTAAATTAAAGGACTAGAGATACTATTATATTGCTAAAATAAAACAAATTTTAGTAAATAATACTAATACAGAGTAAAAGTACATGGTACTATTTTAGTTAGTTACATTTGGAAAAACAATCGGATTTTCATTACGGACCTTTTTTAAGTGTAAACTTGTTTAAATGGTTTAATTGTTTAATTACAAGACTACATAAAAAGGAATTTGCACTAACAAAGGAAGTTTATTTTAAGGAAATATATTTTAAAGCTTAGGAAGGTTTTACGTATATGATGAAAAGATGTAAAAATTTAAAATGTTGCCTTTTATTTACACATTTTACACGGTTTTTCTTGTTTGCTCATTCTGTGTCTGCCTTTACAATCTGGCAAATGTGTTGCTTAAATAACTTTTATAGTACTTGGATTTTTTTTTACATAATTATAAACAAATAACTTTACAAAAAAATATATTTTAAAAATAATAAAACAAATGATTTCATTTGAGGTATTTAAAATATATTTTTTTACATTTTCTACATTTTTCAAAGCAGTGTTTTAAGAGCCTTATTGTTTATTTTGATAAATGTAACAACAGTAGGGCTGCTCGATTTTGGGAAAAATCATAATCATGATTACTTTGGTCATAATTGAAATCACGATTATTCAAAACGATTACTGTTGAAGTCAAAATTAGTAGCACTCCTGAGAATTTTGAAAAAAAAAATTCCCAAATGATGTTTAACAGAGCAAGGAATTTTAACAGTATTTCCTCTTATATTTTTTGCTTCTGGAGAAAGGCTTTTTTATTTTTATTTTGGCTAGAATAAAAGCAAGTCTATAATATTAGCCCCCTTAAGCAATTCTCCATTTGTTGTTTGATTAATAATCATAAAAACAGGCAGCAGAAGGATCATAGCGAGCTGTCTCTTTAATAGTTTCTCTTTCGCGTCTATTTCGATTCTCAACTCGTTTGTTTATTACACAAATGATGCTTGATATTAATAATCACTAAACACTGCGTTTTGACACCTATTTGACTATTAAAGCGCTCACGTTAAGATCACTTTAGATGTCTGCGCAGACTGTAGGAAGATCTGACACTCAAAGTTTTCTCCATCAATTCATTGTCTGAAATCTTGGTAATTAGTGAAAGTACCTTTGAACTGACCGCAGATCTTGATGTAGTCTTTCTTGATCTGGTCTTCTCCACTTTCGATCCTTCCCTGGGTTCATCTTTACAAGGAACCTGCTGAATGGGAAAAAAAAAATACTTTGTGATAAAATTATATTTTATATTCAATCTGCAAATCATTTGTTGTGAAATTTGAATGACTTCCATTCAGTATATGAATAAAATAAAATTAGAATAGGAATAAAACAATAGAACTCTATAAAAAAATACTTCCTATCAAAATAAAGCAGGTGCTTTTACCTAAAGGAACTTTATTAGTATGGTTCCCTGCTTCCAGTTAGTTCAACTTCAGATACCTCTATAATCTGTACTCTGGTGCTTCATTTGGTTCTTGACTTAAGAGTAACTGGTGTCGCATTCCAGGTCCATCACAATCTGAGCTAGAAGGACAATATGACAAAAGACAAGACAAATATGAATACACATAACATACAGAATAAAACATTTAAAGATTTAGTTTACTATTCTGCCACCATTTATTCATCCTCTACTTGTTTCAAAGCAGTTTGAAGCTGTTCAACACTAAAGCAGATATTTTGAAGAATGTTAGAAACCTGTAACTATCGATATACATAGTAGGAAAAACTGGGTTTGTGTTCATTCATTTTTTTTTCAGCTTCATCCCTTTATTAATCTGGGGTCACCACAGTGGAATGAACAGCCAACTTATCCAGCATATGTTTTACGCAGCAGATACTCTTCCAGCTGCAACACATCACTGGGAAAAACCCATACACTCTCATTTACACACATTCACTGTGGACAATTTAGCTTACCCAACTCACCTGTACCGCATGTCTTGTGGGGGAAACCGGAGCACCCGGAGGAAACCCACGCCAACACGGGGAGAACATACAATCTTCACACAGAAATGCCAACTGACTCAGCCGAGGCTCGAACCAGAAACATTTTTGCTGGGAGGCAACAGAGCTATCCACTGTGCACCGCACCGCCTGAGTTTATGTTCAACAGAACAAAAAAAATATTTTGAAACAAGTGGAGGATAAAAGACGTCATTATTTTTGGGTGAACTATCCCTTTAAAATTCAAGTGTCAAGCATTAGTCTTAAAAACTTATGTATCACTACAGGAAAAATAAATCAAGTACCTCTTGTGAACAAGCAAAATCATTATGCCATTGTTTTCAATGGTTTTCCTTTACATTTTTCACTCTGAAATTATAACTTAAACATGCGATCCAAGGTAAATTAATCTACTTTTAACATAAAATAAAAAGTTAAGATAAAAATAAAAGTTACGTCAACAGACGTATTTGTTTTTCCAGCTCACCAATACTTTTAAATTTTACATTTTCAGAAAACAATTCAATAAATTACCTTGTGGAAACATTTAGACTTTTTTTCAAATTTGATTTTTTTAATAATAGATATTTTAAATAAGCTATAACCTCACACAGTGATAAAATAGCAGCAATAAATCTTGTAATATTTTAATAATAAATAAAACATAAAATATATTATTTCAGTACCCAACAACCAGTCTGACATATACAAGTTACAAAATATGTACAATATTGTACCTGGTGTGCTTGATGATGAAGTCAAACAATTAGTAATGCACTGATGTGAGAGTTGTCCTTTCCTTCAGCTTTTCTGTAACAAATTAATACAATACAATCAATTTATAAAAATATTATTTTTACTTGCCACAAAACCATTTGTTTGGACTTGATACATAAGTACAAGATTAATGGTGCAAATCAGTTTCCAGGCTGTTTTGATGTAATATAAAACACAAGATATGGTTTTTAAGCTTATTTAACACAATTGATTTTATTTTTTAACAAGGTTTAATATTTAATAACACACTTAACCTTCTTTGTTAGCTAATTAATTTCCTTCATAAGTCATTTAACACATCATGTTTCAACTGTGGATTTTTTTTTTCAAACGTTTTGGCTTTAAAAATTTTTTAATGCAGACCAGTCTCAACAGTGGCCAGCATGAACCACATAACTCTGCAAACTTTTGCTGAAACTTGATAAAACACATTAACAAGCAAATCAAGATCATTAAGATTAACGTTAACTTACCAAAAAGAGACTGTTCGTTCAGTGTTTGAGCTAAAACCAGTACAAAAGCAGAACTCGGCACCAATTACAACTGTATAAAACGGACACCATATGATTCATTCATTCAAGCTCCCGTTTCGACGCTGTTCTTCATATAACATGTCTTATTCTTCATATAACATGTCTTATTGATCATTTATTTGGGAATAACGAGCGAATAAAAGGACAAATGTAACTTAAATGAATTTGTTAAAACCCCGAGCACAATCAATTTAACAGATTACTGAACTGACGGCTGCCATCATTCTTGGCCGTTTTTAGCCATATTATCCACATATAAGTTACAGTTTTATCACTATTCAAAACAGGAGCTTTTCTAAAAAATAAAAACATTACCTGACGACAAATATCTCACAAATATGATTTTAAAATAATAACTTACCCGATATAAAGAAGAAGATGAAATGGCGGACTTGACTTCACTTCCTCGTTAGAAAAAAATAACCGTCATTCACGAGGCTCCGCCCACTCCACCGTAATGCAATGATGAAGCGAAACACATATTCGCCACCAGGGGGCAGTTTTATGATTATGTTTTTAAATAAATAAATAAATATATATATATATATATATATATATATATATATATATATATATATATATATATATATATATATATATTAGGGTAAGGGTAATTAGGCAAGTTATTATTTATATATATATGTAAATATACCAACTACCACCCAGATAGCATACAGTTCTGGGCCACATCTGGGCCAACTAAGGCACATATGGCTCACTTCTGGCAATGGCAGGAGACATATGGGCCAGATGTGGCCCGTATGTGTCACACCGGGTGTAGTGTGAGTTGTGGCCTGCTGTATGTGGGCCAGATGTGGCCCGTGTGTGACACCCCGGGTGTAGTGTGAGTTGTGGCCTGCCGTATGTGGGCCAGATATGGCCCGTGTGTGTCACACCGGGTGTAGTGTGAGTTGTGGCCTGCTGTATGTGGGCCAGATGTGGCCCGTGTGTGACACATCGGGTGTAGTGCATGTTGTGTATTTTTAGTTCCGGTTTAACTTTAAATTAACGGGAGCCTTTGAAGTGGTTACAAATTATTAGAAATTGAAAATCAAAGTTAATTTGTCTTTCTAAGTCTGTACACTTTCATTTTATGAAGTAGAAAATAGAAAATAAATATTGTAAATTAATGTAATGTGATGCAAGGATTTACATTTTTCCGATTGGCTACTTCTGCCTGTGGACTGCATACCTAATGAGTGGGAGGGGCTTGCTGCTCAAACAAAACACAGACTCTGATGTGAAGCAACAGCAGTTCTGTGTTTCCTGTGTTTTATAAACATTATTGTCCCTCATCAGGCAGTGAGAGCGCTACACCTTCTCTGAAAATAATAACATTGCATGTTCTAAATAAGACTTTCTGAGATTGAAAATGTTTCTTTAGGTTATTAAGAATAGGAATAAGCTATTGCTTATCAGGGAAAGTATATGTTTGTCACATATTAATTCAGTTTATTTCCTCAATAATGGATTTATTTTTACTTTAAGGCTGCTATGAATATAAATTTATATTATCTGTTATATGTAAATGTTCCAGCATGAGTAAAAATTTTTTTTTTCATATTACCTGGTATATCTATAAATGTCTATAAATGCAATGAGTTTTATCATTTATTATGTTTTGATCCATTAATGTTTTGTTCAGTTCCATTTGAATGAATTAAGACAGTGTTCTACCGCCACCTACTGGGTGGATTTAATTTGCTATTAGTACTACTTTTTAACGAACAATTTTACAAATGAATTCATAATCTAATAATGCTGAATTAAAGTGCTGTTTTCTTGGTGTTATTTTTTGCAATTCTACATTTTTATAATGATTTTGTTTGATTAAATGCCACATACAACATTGTTCTTTTTTTATTTAATTTGAATATTAAATAGACATAAATGTTTTGTTTATGAATAAAATAACTATATAGAAAAAAATGTCAGAGAACTGAGCAGTAGAATGTGAATAACATGAATGTGTTCGTAAATAAACTGATCTTTGTAAACAAAACAAAGTTTTATTTACTTATTCTACAGAACACAAAAAATGATCAAAATAAATCTGACCAATTTTAACGTGCAAACCTAACCCCGCTCCTAACCCGACCCCTCACTTTGATGTCACTAGCTCTATTTGAGTGCATTGTTTCTGACATTGCATGTCAAACTGTGTGTCTCAGCTTGCATATGCAAGTCTGCAATCAGATACTAATGCTTCTGCAACACAGCCCTGAGGGTACAATCCTCAGTGCAGGGAAACACCACACATTATCTTAATCACAAACTACAGCAAATTTAGTTTATCCAAAATTCACTTATACTGCAAATTTTTGCACTATGGAAGAAACTGGAAACCAACAGAAACAACATGCACACTCAACATAGAAAGGCCCAAAAGTCTATCCTGGTTCTGAGTGTGTGCACCTGTAACAGCGTCAACAAATTTTATAGACAATATGCTATCAATAAGCATGTTAATTAGCAATTAGTTGATTGTAAATATATCTTAAAGTGTTATAGTTTTTATATAACAAGCTACTGAATATTAAAAATAACATATTACATAACAGAGCAAGGACATGTTCACAGTATGTCTGATAATATTTTTTCTTCTGGAGAAAGTCTTCGACTAGAATAAAAGCAGTTTTTAATTTTTTTTTAAAGTGTTTTAAGGTCAAAATTATTAACCCCTTCAAGCTATATATTTTTTCGACAGTTTCAGAACAAATCATTGTTATAAAATAACTTGCCTAATTACCCTTACCCTAATATATATATATATATTTATTTATTTACTTATTTAAAAACATAATCATAAACTGCCCCCTGGTGGCGAATATGTGTTTCGCTTCATCCTTGCATTACGGTGGAGTGGGCGGAGCCTCGTGAATGACGGTTAATTTTTTCAAACGAGGAAGTCAAGTCCGCCATTTCATCTTCTTCTTTTTATCGGGTAAGTTATTATTTTAAAATCATATTTGTGAGATATTTGTCGTCAGGTAATGTTTTTATTTGTTAGAAAAGCCCCTGTTTTGAATAGTGATAAAACTGTAACTTATATGTGGATAATATGGCTAAAAACGGCTAAGAATGATGGCCGCCGTCAGTTCAGTAATCTGTTAAGTTGATTGTGCTCGGGGTTTTAACAAATTCATTTAAGTTACAATTGTCCTTTTACGCTCGTCATTCCCAATTAAATGATTAATAAGACGTGTTATATGAAGAACAGCGTCGAAACGGGAGCTTGAATGAATGAATCATATGCTGTCCGTTTTATACAGTTGTAATAGGTGCCGAGTTCTGCTTTTGTACTGGTTTTAGTTCAAACACTGAACGAACAGTCTCTTTTTGGTAACGTTAATCCTAATGATCTTGATTTGCTTGTTAATGTGTTTTATCAAGTTTCAGCAAAAGTTTGCAGAGTTATGTGGTTCATGCTGGCCACTGTTGAGACTGGTCTGCATTAAAAAAAATTTAAAGCCAAAACGTTTGAAAAAAAATCCACAGTTGAAACATGATGTGTTAAATGACTTATGAAGGAAATTAATTAGCTAAAAAAGAAGGCTAAGTGTGTTATGAAATATTAAACCTTGTTAAAAAATAAAATCAATTGTGTTAAATAAGCTTAAAATCCATATCTTATGTTTTATATTACTTTAAAACAGCCTGGAAACTGAATTGCACCATTAATCTTGTACATATGTATCAAGTACAAACAAATGGTTTTGTGGCAAGTAAAAATAATATTTTTATAAATTGATTGTATTGTATTAATTTGTTACAGAAAAGAAAGGAATCATGCAAGGATGCAAGCTGAAGGAAAGGACAACTCTCACATCAGTGCATTACTAATTGTTTTACTTCATCATCAAGCACACCAGGTACAATATTGTACATATTTTGTAACTTGTATATGTCAGACTGGTTGTTGGGAACTGAAATAATATATTTTATGTTTTATTTATTATTAAAATATTACAAGATTTATTGCTGCTATTTTATCACTGTGTGAGGTTATAGCTTATTTAAAATATCTATTATTAAAAAAATCATATTTTAAAGAAAGTCTAAATGTTTCCACAAGGTAATTTATTGAATTGTTTTCTGAAAATGTAAAATTTGACAGTATTGGTGAGCTGGAAAAACACAGTCTGTTGACGTAACTTTAAAGTAGATTAATTTACCTTGGATCGCATGTTTAAGTTATAATTTCAGAGTGAAAAATGTAAAAGAAAACCATTGAAAACAATGGCATAATGATTTTGCTTGTTCACAAGAGGTACTTGATTTATTTTTCCTGTAGTGATACATAAGTTTTTAAAGACTAATGCTTGACACAAAAATTTAAAGGGATAGTTCACCCAAAAATAATGACGTCTTTTATCCTCCACTTGTTTCAAAATATTTTTTTTGTTCTGTTGAACATAAACTCAGGTGGTGCGGTGCACAGTGGATAGCTCTGTTGCCTCCCAGCAAAAATGTTTCTGGTTCGAGCCTCGGCTGGGTCAGTTGGCATTTCTGTGTGAAGTTTGTATGTTCTCCCCGTGTTGGCGTGGGTTTCCTCCGGGTGCTCCTGTTTCCCCCACAAGACATGCGGTACAGGTGAATTGTGTAAGCTAAATTGTCCTTAGTTAATGTGTGTAAATGAGAGTGTATGGGTTTTTCCCAGTGATGTGTTGCAGCTGGAAGAGTATCTGCTGCGTAAAACATGCTGGATAAGTTGACTGTTCATTCCACTTCGGTGACCCCAGATTAATAAAGGGATGAAGCTGAAAAAAAAATGAATGAACACAAACCCAGTTTTTCCTACTATGTTAATCAATAGTTACAGGTTTCTAACATTCTTCAAAATATCTGCTTTAGTGTTTAACAGATTCAAACTGCTTTGAAACAAGTAGAGGATGAATAAATGGTGGCAGAATAGTAAACTATATCTTTAAATGTTTTATTCTGTATGTTATGTGTATTCACATTTGTCTTGTCTTTTGTCATATTGTCCTTCTAGCTCAGATTGTGATGGACCTGGAATGCGACACCAGTTACTCTTAAAGCCTGATTTATACTTCTGCGTCAGGGGACCGGCGTAACCAACGGCGCATGCAACGCGCGTGGCTGTGCATTTATACTTCTGCGCGCTGTCTCTGTCGGTCTGCATTAACACTTCCGAAACGCTAGTTGGCAGTGAGGTGTAAATGTTCCTCTGTGTCGAGTTTCTTCGCTACTTTTTTGCTTTTCCTGAACACTTCCGGGATGTACAAGTGGCTCAAACTCGCTCATTTTGAGGCAGGAACCGGTGGACGTACAACAACTTTAACTATGAGGTAAACACAAAACAAAACTTTCCATCCGGAGCTCCTTCACGGTACTCCACACTTGTAAACAATCGCTCGCTTACATTCGCGCTGCTCTCGGTCCCGCCCAGACTCGTCAGCGCTACCAAGCCGACCAATCACAGAGCTTACGCTAGGCGTCGTTGCGACGTGTAGTTAAATTTTTTGAGAAGTGCACATCAGTGACGGCGACGGCCACATCGAAGGGCTATGCGTCAGCGCCATAGCATACGCCGGCGTTTGACGCAGAAGTATAAATCAGCCTTAAGTCAAGAACCAAATGAAGCACCAGAGTACAGATTATGGAGGTATCTGAAGTTGAACTAACTGGAAGCAGGGAACCATACTAATAAAGTTCCTTAAGGTAAAAGCACCTGCTTTATTTTGATAGGAAGTATTTTTTTATAGAGTTCTATTGTTTTATTCCTATTCTAATTTTATTTTCTTCATATACTGAATGGAAGTCATTCAAATTTCACAACAAATGATTTGCAGATTGAATATAAAATATAATGACATTTTAATGCATTATTTCTTTTGGTTATTCTTTACATCTATATATGGGCAAGTATTTAATCAATGAAAATAATTTTTAACAACTTAACTAAACAAATTACTCTGTTGGACCCTAGCAAAATCCTCAAACTAACACACACTCTTGTGAATGCATTCTCACATTCATACACTCAAAAACACACATTCATACAACAGTCTGTCTCAGTCTGACTCACACACAACATCCTCTCTCACAGATTTTTCTAGCAAACCTCCACCACTAGCTTGTCCTTTTATGCTGCTTTTATTTCAAACATTTTATAGCATGATATAGTCCAGGTTTTTATCACTAAGTATTTTTTTTTCCATTCAGCAGTTTCCTTGTAAAGATGAACCCAGGGAAGGATCGAAAGTGGAGAAGACCAGATCAAGAAAGACTACATCAAGATCTGCGGTCAGTTCAAAGGTACTTTCACTAATTACCAAGATTTCAGACTATGAATTGATGGAGAAAACTTTGAGTGTCAGATCTTCCTACATCGCCTAGCAAAAATTCTTCCCAGTGTCTTGTAGTAGAAGTGATGCAGTCAATCGAGTTTACATTATTTCGTAAATTGCTTTCTGATTTAATAAAAAATATATTAACCAAACTTGATTAATGTAACAATTTTGATGAAAAGGGCATGTTTTACTAGAGCTTTTAGCACAAAGGCACCCCCAACTTGGAATATTGCTGTGTCTGACGTCACGGGGTTGGTATGCTGGAAAAGTTTTTGAATGAGGTATTTGTATGATTTATACATAGTCTGTCTTAAAGCGTAACTAAATTGTACAGGCATTACAGGTCAAAGCAATCTGTTGTTACATTTATCAAAATAAACAATAAGGCTCTTAAAACACTGCTTTGAAAAATGTAGAAAATGTAAAAAAAATATTTCAAATATTTTATAATATTAATAATATTATAAGGAAGTATAAAACCTTCCTAAGCTTGAAAATATACTAAACTTCCTTAAAGGAAATAAACTTCCTTTGTTAGTGCAAATTCCTTTTTATGTAGTCTTGTAATTAAACAATTAAACCATTCAAACAAGTTTACACTTAAAAAAGGTCCGTAATGAAAATCCGATTTTTTTTTCCAAATGTAACTAGCTAAAATAGTACCATGTACTTTTACTCTGTATTAGTATTATTTACTAAAATCTGTTTTATTTTAGCAATATAATAGTATTTCTAGTCCTTTAATTTAATGTAATTTAATTTTCAGTTCTCTTTCCATCTACAAAAACATTAAAAAAATAATTTCACAAGCACATTTAAAATAGGTTTAATACTATGAAATATTATATTAATATTATTTTTTATTTTTTATAAATCGATAGGTAGTTCCTATGGAATGTTTTTATGTATTGCTGAGAATACATTTCAGGTGTTCAATACGTTGCTTGTCAGTCTTAAAAATAAAAATAGGTGCTTAAAAAAGTGCTTAAAAGTCCTTAATTTTAATCGAGTTGTGCCTGTATATACTCTGCAAACAGCACCTTTTAATTGTTGTCTTCTCCGATTTTCAGGATGTTTTGCATTGGACTGTTTTTTTTGGCTTTGACCCTTGCTTGCCCCTGACCTCACTCTTGGACTGCCCTGTTGGATTTTCAGTTTATTTAATTTTTTAAAAAAAATTTGGTTCTGGGTAGATGCTAATAAATATTTAATTGTAATTATTTAATGTAAATCAAAGGCGGCAACACCAAGGCTCCAAAAATACAAATTTATTAAATTAAAAAGGCTGACACAGAGCGTGTAACGTTTCGAGCCGCCGGCTCTTCATCAGACAAATTCTTTTTCGTTGTAATTTTTTAAATAATATGTTTTTGTTAAATATTCGATTTCTGTGTTTGTTCTGTCTACTCGTACTTGTTTATCTTGTCTCTGTAATTATCATTTGTTAATTTAATTAATATGCATTTTATAAAAAAAATATATATATATATTTTCTGTGTTTTTTTTTTCTGTATCTATTTATCTAATTTGTATATACATTTGTGTTTGTATGTTCTTCTTATTCTGTATATCCACTTACCTAATTTTAACTTTTATATTTATTTATTTGCATTTAATTTGTGATAATTCTGTATGCATTTATTTATCTAATTCATATATTTATATGTATTGCATTGATCAATCTGTTGTTGTTTTTTTTTGTATGCATCTATTAATATAATTTATATAAATTCTATATTTGTATTTATCAATTTATATGCTTCCTTTAAAGCAATTTTTTAAATAAAGCAATTTAAACTAAGCATTCCTTTTAATGTGATTTATATAGCTACCAAATGTAGATGTCAGCCACATCTAACCCAAAAGTCAGCCGCAACTGAACAAGATCTGGGCCAGATCTGTGAAATTGCATGGGCCGCATCTGGGCCAGATCTGAGAAACTGCATGGGCCGCAGCTGGGCCAGATTTCAGAATTTGCATGGGCCGCAGCTGGGCCAGATCTAAGAAAATGTATGGGCCACATCTGGCCCAGATATGGACCAAGCTTTTTCTGAGATATGGTCCAGATCTGGTTCAGTTGTGGCTGACTTTGGATCCTTATGACAGCCACAATCAGGTTGAGTCATCGCCGTCATTCCGCGCGGTATGTGGGCCATATCTGGGCCAGATGTAATTTGCTATCAGTGACCAGCATGGTATTGCTGGTCACTATCAGCGCCAGCATCCCAGCTGCATCTCATGCTGGTGACCAGCATCCCAGCACCAGCATTCCATGCTGGTCATCAGCATAGCACCCAAATCCCAGCAAGACCAGTATATGTTGTGTTTTGGTGCTGGTGACCAGCATGGGATTGCTGGTCACTAGCATACCAGCGCCAGCATCCCAGCAGCATCTCATACTGGTGACCAGTATCCCAGCACCAGCATTTCATGCTGGTCACCAGCATAGCACCCAAATCCCAGCAAGACCAGCATATGTTGTGTTTTGGTGCTGGTGACCAGCATGGGATTGCTGGTCACTAGCATCCCAGCGCCAGCATCCCAGCAGCATCTCATACTGGTGACCAGCATCCCAGCACCAGCATTTCATGCTGGTCACCAGCATAGCACCCAAATTCCAGCAAGACCAGCATATGTTGTGTTTTGGTGCTGGTGACCAGCATGGGATGCTGGTGACCAGCATGGGATTGCTGGTCACTAGCATATTACCAGCGCCAGCATCCCAGCAGCATCTCATACTGGTGACCAGCATCCCAGCACCAGCATAGCACCCAAATCCCAGCAAGACCAGCATATGTTGTGTTTTGGTGCTGGTGACCAGCATGGGATTGCTGGTCACTAGCATACCAGCGCCAGCATCCCAGCAGCATCTCATACTGGTGACCAGCATCCCAGCACCAGCATTTCATGCTGGTCACCAGCATACCAGCGCCAGCATCCCAGCAGCATCTCATACTGGTGACCAGCATCCCAGCACCAGCAATTCATGCTGGTCACCAGCATAGCACCCAAATCCCAGCAAGACCAGCATATGTTGTGTTTTGGTGCTGGTGACCAGCATGGGATGCTGGTGACCAGCATGGGATTGCTGGTCACTAGCATACCAGCGCCAGCATCCCAGCAGCATTTCATACTGGTGACCAGCATCCCAGCACCAGCATTTCATGCTGGTCACCAGCATAGCACCCAAATCCCAGCAAGACCAGCATATGTTGTGTTTTGGTGCTGGTGACCAGCATGGGATGCTGGTGCTTGTATGCTGGCCACCAGCATAGCAGCAGCATCCTATGCTGGTCACCAGCATCACAGCACCAGCATCCCATGCTGGTCACCAGCATAATACCAGCATCACAGCACCAGCATCCCATGGTCACCACAGCATAACACCAGCATCCCATGCTGGTCACCAGCATAGCACCAGCATCTCATGCTGGTCATCACAGCATTACACCAGCATCACAGCACCAGCATCCCATGCTGGTTATCAGCATACCAGCACCAGCATCCCATGCTGGTCACCAGCATACCAGCACCAAAACACAACATATGCTGGTCTTGCTGGTGACCAGCAATGCTGGTCTATGCTGGTTTTTTCAGCAGGGACTATAGAAGTAAAGTTGGTTTTATATTCACACATTCAGACTTTCCCCTTAATAATATAATTTCATAAAAGTATTATTTGCAAACTCTAAACAGTAAAATCATATTAGCAGCAAATGACTATCAAAGTACAACATTGTTCACAGTCAAATAAACAGTGTTAATGTTGAATTCAAGTCATACTGGCAGGCTAACTCTGATGACATATTCAAAGTAACATGGTAAACAATATAGAGACTTCTAAATGAACAAATGTGTGAATATAAAACCAACTTTACCTCTATTGTAAAGCTCGCATTACACACTTTTCTGTTTCAAACAAAAGCCCTCGGTTACTAAGAATAAAATAGTACTACGCTGTATAAAGGGTTAAAATAATATTTCCAACAGCAGGTACACAATGTAGCATCGGATGAAAAACATGAAACTTTAATTAAATCGGGTTATATCCGTAAACATTTAAAAACACAAACCTTTCTCCAGTTGAATCAAAGCGCTGAAGCGGCGCCGCCTGATGACGTCACACACCACGCCAAAATAAAAGTCTTTTTTGTTTAGCTTTTTTGCCCCTTACTGTTGCAGTCATGACTTATTGATACATTTCTCCCTTGTTTTTCACTCTATACTATTTCTGCTATCTCTCTCTCTCTCTCTCTCTCTCACATTTCACATTTTAGGTGCTTTATTGGCATGACAAATAACTGTACATTTATATTGCATACGTACAAACAAGACAGTAGTGCAAACAAATATGGATATAAAATATAATACAGAAAAAACACAGAAATAAATAAAATAAAAATAGATTAATAAAAATAAAAAGATTGATAAAATAAAAAATATTAATAAAAATTAAAATAGATTAGATCTCTCTCACAAACACACACTTTAGTATTTAAAGTTGATCAAATTTTTTAATCTAAACATTTTAAGACAATTTTGAGAAACTTTTTTTAATCCAGTTCATGATGACTTGCATGTCTACAACACATTACTTACTATTAATATATGAGAGTCCAAATCTCATCCTCATAATTATGACCCCTTATTTTCTTTTCTATTTTTACAACTTTATAGGCCTATATAGTGTTTATTATTGTTTCAAATGAATTGTCATCTCTTATTAGCTGTGTTCCACGTTTTCTGCCATTCTTTAGCAATATCTTCAGTAATAATATTTCATTTACCTTTACTTACAGAAGCATTAAAGGGGTAGTTCACATAAAAAAAAAAACATTTTTACCTGTTTGAGTTTCTTCTGCTGAATGCAAATGAAGAGAATAGGCTACAGGGTCAAGAAGCAGCCACTACATGGTTTAACAGCTCCTACTTTGGACATAGCTGCTTTTTTCAACATTTTCTGGCACTCAAAATGTTCTCGAGAGCCACATCGCACTGCTTTTTTTAAATTTATTTATTAATTTTTTATTGCAACAACAACTGTTCATTACAACAAATAGAAATACAGAAACTGATACTCGTGTGATATTACTCATATATTCATTCATTTTCTTTATAGCTTAGTCCTTTTATTAATCAGGGGTCACCATAGTGGAATGAACTGCCAACTTATCCAGCAGCACATGCTTTACACAGCGGATGCCCTTCCAGCTGCAACCCGTTACTGGGAAACATGCATACAAACTCATTCACACACACCGCATGTCTATGAACTTTGTGAAAACCAGAGCATCCGGAGGAAACGCACGCGAACACAGGGAGAACATGCAAACTCCACATAGAAATGCCAACTGACCCAGTAGAGGCTCGAACCAGCAACCTTCTTGCTGTGAGGCAATCGTGCTACCCACTGCAACACTGTGAAACCTCACATATGTGTAATTGTTTGAGGTATTAAACTGGTATTGGTGAAGAACTATGGTTACTAAAAGGCACCATTCAGATGTAATGATCTGGGCAATCAAGCATGTATTGTTATAGACACCTTTGCTTATTTGTCTTAAGAGATGTAAGGCAGGTCCTATTCATGTAATTTGCTTTAGGCTATCAAGTTGGTATTGGGATGAACAGCTATACCTGTTAACAGGTTTCATATATGTAAAACGGTCCTATTCAGTTAATGGTCTGGACTATTAGGCAGCTATTAATAAAGACGACTGCACATGATGATGAGTCATTTATTTAAATGAATCTGTGACACAGATATTTAAATTTCATTGTTGCAAACAAGTTACAGGAGTAAGTGCAGTTGTTGTTGTATGTGACGTTCACCACTGTGATTACACCATAGTGAAACAGAAGTCTGAGAAATGCTGTAGTTGGTGTAGGTGGAGCAGGTTAATCACATTAAAAGTTCTGCATTGTGTAGATATAAAGTGAACTCTTGTCATTGAATTACCCTGTATAAACTCCCTATACAATAATTTACTTGTGATGTAATTATTTTCTAATTATAAATATATAGCTGCATGACAGATTTAATAGTGGACTCCACAAAGGTAAGACAAAAGCTTGACATCGCATCACGTGAGTGCATGAGACCAATAGAAGATCAAAACATGAGCTATATGGAGCAATCAGTCGCTTTTAGTAACGTCTAATCATA